CAATTCTCCTGCCTCAGCCTCCTGAGTAGCTGGGATTACAGGCATGTGTCACCACACCCAGATAATTTTTTATATTTTTAGTAGAGACGGGGGTTTCTCCATGTTGCTCAGGCTGGTCTCAAACTCCCAACCTCAGGTGATCTGCCTGCCTCGGCCTCCCCATGTGCTGAGATTACAGGTGTGAGCCACCACACCCAGCCAGGGTTGCTCCCTTTCAATGTGGGTTAAGCATGAAGCTATTTTGAACATGAATATAGCAGCAGGCATGAAAACACTTTGGGCTCTTCAGAGAAAAGGTACTACTGACATGCGAAGCACTCTTCTTGTGCCCATTCTCAGACCTGGGCTCAGCCTGGCAGCAGCTTCTCCCAAGCCTCTGGCTCCTGACCTGCATATACTTCACAGGAGGTGGCTCCCTGTCAGGATAAATTCACTCTCCCACCCAGGCAGGGCCCATGGGACTGGGCTGGGGGCTGTCTTTCCTTTGTCACTCAGGGACTACCTACCAGGCTTGGCACAGGCTGGTTCACCAGTAGAATTGGGGAGAAGAGAGGGGATATCAGACCAAACCCTCAATGCTGCAGGGAGATGTCAATTCACTTCCACCTAATAACTCCGCAGGATCAGCAGGCAAACACACATGTTCATTACCAAGTCTAATTAGGCTGGCAGACAAGTGGCATTAATCATTTTTGACTGTACCTGGGATTCAAGCCCCCCACACTCCATAATCAGAAAATTTCATGCTCTGATGAATAGTGGGGAAAATTAAGCCCACATTTAATCCTTTCACTTTCATCTTTTGATAAGACAGGAAGCAGGGAGGAGAGGAAAAATGGGCTGCAGCGTGGGGAGCTGAGAAGGCCTCTTTGAAAGCATTCCAGGCTCTTTCCCGGGCCCCTAACACACACATCCTCCAATAGGACCTTACCCAAGAAGACCCCAGTTAGAGTCAGGGGTAGGAGAGGGCTTGGAGTGGGGGATCCCTACAATCTTTAACAACAAAATATCCATTTCTGTGCTTCATTTTCTTAAACTCCAAAGCCAAACATGGGCCTAAATCAAGGAAAATACACACCACACGCTCAGTGCTGCTGGGTGCACAAATACCTTCCAAATGCCCAAGGTAAATAAATATAGAAGCCACCAGAACAACACAGGACAATTTCCAAGAGGCCTGACATGAAGACCTTTCTCTGCTGCAGGAAGTCAATGAGCATCTGAGGACTGACACGCAGGTGTTTCCAGCTGTGCAGAAAGTGGGGTTGGACCCAGCCAATAGCGCAGCAGCAAGACGTGAGACCAGACTAGAGGCCCAGGGAGATATCAGCCATTCTCAGCAAGAGTAGGCCCAGTGCCCTTCCCTGAGGGCTTCATGGCAGGGCCTTGCATTCACAGTGTCATTAAAATCTATCACAGAGTGGGGAGGTTAGAAATGACGAGCCCCAGGCAGGGCCTCCCTTTCAACCATGTAATTCCAATCACTTAACACTTCACAGCTCTGAATAATCCCCCTCTGGAGAGAGACTCTGACTCCAGGAGCAGACAGGTGGCATTCACTGACAATGGCCATGGTGTGTCTAAGCACCTCCAGGAGGGTTTGGGTCAGGCTTAGGTTTCTCCAAGTGCCAGACCATCCCCTGGTCCAGGATAGCTCATGTAGCCACCAAAATGAGATGAAAGGTAAAAGGCCACCTCCATGCGCCTTCTACAGGAGGAACAGTAAGGGACAGAATCTGTAAGGAAAAGTCCCTGAGAACAAAGCCAAAGGGCAGCCAGTGAGTTTCTCTGGTTATTTGCTGTTGACCATTCCCTCCTAGAATGCTAGAAATGGATTCTCACCATCACCACCCCCACCCCCACCCCAAAACACACACATGCACTCACACTACCTTTCTTTCTCTCTTTCCACAGATCCCCACTGGATTTCCTTCTCTATCTAATGACTACGATTTCTTTAATGCTGAAAATTCACATTGCCCCTGAACTTCCCTGTTCACAAATCTAGCATTCACCAGAGCTTGGTTACAGATTTTGAGGTAGGGTAAGCTTAGGTTAGATGAACTTTTGCTAAAAAGGTAGACAGACAATGGGAAGAGTGTTTCCAAAATGCTTTCCTTACCAAAAGCCCCTTCTGCCAACATGGTTCCCACCCAGTGTCAGCCTCCTGTGAAGACAGATGTCATTCACAAACCCACTGCCCTTCTGCTTGTTTCCAAGGGCAGGGATATTTAATAGCACAAACAAGCCATCACTCTCATCAGTCGCTGCATAGTGAGACCCTGCTCTGTGCCTGGCACTCTGCTGGGTACAAGAAACATAAAGACAAGGAGCCAATGCCTTCATGGCCCCTAAGCCAGGCACAGAAGGGTCTCCTCAGCCACAGCAGGACCTTGGTTAGGAGTGGCATTCCTAGAGAACACCTAATAGCCAAATTTTCTGGGATGCCATGGCAGTCACTTCCCCACTGAGCTCAGCAACCAGGCAGTTTGCAAACTGTTCTCGCTGCTTGGAAAGGTAATCCTAGGAGGTGTCACGAGCCCAGACTAGTTGTTACAGCTGTTGGATGGGAGGTGACAATAATATTCATATTGAATTAAAGATTTGTATTGCATTTTGCTAGGCCCTGTTCTGAGTGCCTTATGTATATTAATCCATTTAATTCTCACATTAACATGATGAAGTAGGTAATATTTTTTTTTAAACAAGGAATCAGAACACAGAGATGCCCAGAGGTCACATGGGGACTCAGTGGTAGTCAGGATTCAAACCCAGGGTTCTGGTTCCAGTCTATACTCTTCATCACTGCGTAGCATGGCATTTTAAAAGTCCTCTTTCTGACTGTTGCTTTTCAAAATGAAGACAAACAAAGCAACCCCACCATGGAATCAGACCTTCAACTTAAAGAAAGATGCTCAGCGACTGTGGCCTGCTGTGACTCCACCTGCCTGCCCTCATCTACACATCAGAACATTCCTCAACTTTTGCCATCCAGCCATAGGTTCACGGTTAGTTAAATATTAATAATGACAAACAGAGACTCCTTTCTGTAACCCTCAATTCCAGTTTGGCTTCCTCTCCAGTGTTCAGACATCGATAGTATTAAACCAACTATGTGGGGGCTGTGAGAACCCAGGAAAGTAAAAAGACCTTGCCAAGTCACACACAAAGTCAGAGGTACTGCCCGGAGGGCCTGGATCTTCCTGCCACTAGAAACGATGTATATGACTTAATCAAAGGAGATCGACGATTCTGATGTGACATGAGAATAAATTCATTTAATTGTGGAGTATCACACACAGACACATGCAAATACATACAAATGCACCACTATCACCAAACCAAAAAAAAAAAAAAAAGAAGAAATGACAAAACTGTGCAAAATCTTAGTCCCCCAAAGTCTAAGTACAAACTAGAATTTCGATGAAGCAAATTTCCTGGGATCCCAGCTGTAATAAAAGCCATTGTCGTGAGGCTCCTGCCTCTCTCCCTGTGTGCAGGGTTGTTGGACACAGTAAGGGAATCTTGAAACTGCAAAAGCTGCAACACGTCCAAAGGCAAGTTGCATTGGATTCTACTGCAGTCAAAGGCATTTACTGAGGGACAGCAGCCCCTCTACCCACAACGTATACCTGTACACACCTTTGCTCCCTCCTTCTTCATTAGCGCCTGAACTGGGGGTTCCGGTGGAGGAGGAAAGAGCAGCACCCACTTGCCCTTCCAATCTTTCCCCTCCACTTGACCCAGGCTTAGAGTCTGAGCTCTACTGACCTGCAGCCAGCTGTAGTGGGTGGCACACCAATCAGCCTTGGCTGCAGACTGCAGGCAGAAGAAAGGTAGGGTTTTCCTGACGTGGAAATCGCTGCTGCTGCCCAACACTGCAGTCGGATGGGAGATGCGAGGCTGCTGTCATGGGGGAAGGGCCTTTGCTGAAAGATGCAAACCACAGTCCATTTCCAGAGATGCTTGTTAGAGGCTGTGCCATTGTCTGTGCTTTGGGCTTCAGATATTTGAAATATCCATGTAAACACATGAACACATGGCTATGGATAGCCTTTGCTAAACACGCAATAGCAAATACCAGGGCGGGGGTGGAGGGTGGACATCTATTAAAGGCATACACGCCCCTAACTGTAGGAGGAGAAAAATAATAATCCCCCAAGAAGACTGAAGATTGGCTCAGAAAACCTATACACTGGGGGCCCCAGTGTTTTCTGGCTTTGAGAAGGGCCTGGCTCAGGAGGTGACTGGAGGACCCTGAGAGCTGGGGAGAGGAAGGGACCCTGTCAGGAGCTGAGTAATGTTAGAGCATGATGACGGGGGCAGGAACCCAGGAGGAGGAGGGGGAGGAGGCAGGGGACAGCCAAACATCGGAGCACAGTGCAAAGGTTTGAGGGGCCAGAGGTGAAAGGCAGACGGGGGCACGAGTTCAGGGTGACCTCAGGCTCTCTTCAGCCTCACAGCCTGACTTTATCCAAAGCCTAACTAGGTTTCTTCCCTGTCCCAATAGGTCCCCTTGGAGGAGAGGTCTGAGCTTGTACCATAGGAGGACAAACAAACGTTTGTCATTAACCCTAATAAGCCAGGGTCAACCGCTCATCTCAACAGCAGCCTCACAATCCACTCCCAAGAACTCACAACAAAAGCATGAGGATGCACAGGTAGATGATATAATGACCTTGCCGCCGAGGCCATCACCCCACACCACACAAGCTGCGTGCAAGTGTGTGCGTGTGTGTGTAGGGCTGAGGCACGCACCTGTCAAGAGACAGGTATCTGTTAAATACCACATAGCCATACCGAGGCAGTGGGCAGGCGCTAAAGGATACCGGCAAGGGAACTAAGGAGCAAAGTGTTCCCAGAGGTTACCTCCTTATGGTCGGGGCTATCCTGGAGCCAGAGAGGGTAATGGCCCCTCCCTCCCTGCCCCAGGGCCCTCGCAGTCCTTCGCCCCCAGACTGCGGTGTCCCAGCGTGCCCCTCCCCTGCCCTCACACTTACTAGCGCAGCGCAGCGCCTGCCGCAGCACCTCTCGTCCGCACAGGTCACACCAGCCGGGGCCGACCGGCAGCACCGATTCGGCGAAGCGGTGCCCCTCGCCTCGCTCAGCCGGGACGCGGGGATCCTGAGGCTGCTCGAAGATGCTCCGCACGTCGCGGGGTCGGGGCGCTCCAGGGCGCCGCCGCAGTCTCTGCTGCAGTCCAGGCCGGAGCGGGCGAGCGGGTCGGGAGGCCCGGGGTGGGGGCTCCAGGTTCCCCCTGGCAGCCCTCCGGGCGCTGCGCCCCTCATGCGCCCCAGGCGCAGTGGAGAGGGGCGCCGGGACACAGCGGCGCGAGGACCGGTCGTGGGGCGGCGGCGGCGGCTCCTGGCCGCTCAGGGTCTGCAGATAGCGCGGCGGCTCGGGATCCAAGAGTAACGGGTACGGGCGCTGCCCGACAGCCGGGGACGCCATGGCCATGCCCGGCTGGTGGCTGCGGCTTTGGCAGCTGCGGCTTCGGCAACAGCGCTACTCCCGAGCCAGCCCCGAGAGAAGGGGCGGCCCCACACCAGCGCGCCTTTAAAGGGACCGCAGACCGCTGGGCGGGGCGGGGGCGTGGCGGGGGCGTGGCGATTGCGAGTGGCAGGAAGGAAGACCCGAGGGAACCCCCGAAGGACAGAGGGATAGGGTAGGTGCGGGGCGACGTCTGCGCGACTGTGGATCTGGGGGCGTCTTCACTGGGAGCAGCTGCAGGATTCTGCAGAGGAGCGCCTCGGTACGGTAGAGTTCAAAGGGCGCATTTCTGCTGGGGGCCCTTGGCCTTCAGCCCTGCCTCTTACCCCGGGGATCACTCCCCCCAACACCAGGTCCGCGCCACCCCCCGCACCCCCACGCGCCTCGAGAGGGAGCCGGTCGGAGGAAATGGCTTGGGAACTGGCTGGATGGAGTCGGAGGAGGGCCCCTCCGTCTAGGCATCCGCCCGCCCCCCTCCGCTGATAGCGCCGACTGCGGGCAGTGCTCCTCCGCCCTTCCATTCTCCGCTGGGCGCCGCCCGCGGCCCCATCTTGAGCCGAGCTCCACGCGGATCGGGAATGCCCCGCGCGCGCTCCCGCAGCCGCGCCTGGTCCCATGGCTGGACCGCAGGAAGTCGCCAGCGCAGCTGGGGCTGGCAGAGCTGTCCACGTGCGACTTTCGCTCTGATTGGATTTCCCCTCCCTTCGCAGCCCTGTCGGGTAAGGAATTCCTCTTTCCCGGAAGACTGGGGGGCCCCTGATTGAGAGAACACTCCCGCGCCCCAACGGTTGGGGGAGCTTTATCTTCCTTAGCCAACCCTCCACTCCCCACGGCTGCTCGAATAATTACTGTGGAGATACCAGTTCCCCTAAAGGCCCTACTTGGTACCTGGTATGGACGGTTCGCTCGTGGGACCCAAAGAGAGAACTCCTTTCTCCTGGCACTTTGTCCCATGGATTTACTTCGTGGACCCCTGTCTGGTTTAATGCTCTGTGGTCACCATCTTGAAAGTCACTTTTTGAACAAAGGGCTGGACGTTTTCTTGTTGCACTGGTTCCCACAAATTATGTAGTTGCTCCCACAGACAGGCACCTTTGCCCATAGAAGCTAGCCCATCTCATGGATAAAGAGGACTCCTGGATCTCTGAACCTGGGATGGGGCCCTTTCTAGCCCCAATTTCCTTAACTGTACATTGGGCTGGAGGTGGGGAGACAGCTGGGTGGTAATGGGGCACTTGCCAGGTCCGTCACTCCGACTCAGTGATCGCAGGTTTCCTTTTAAAACACCGGTTCGGTCTGGTCCGTCTAGCATGGTCACTCTGGAAGAATAGTCGAAATTCTTCTGGACCTGGTCTCTCCCTTCCCTTCCCAGGCCAGAGATGGGTCTCCCCCTAGTGCTTCCTAGGGGAATCTTCACTTTTGCTTTTTGTTTTTCCCTTGGAGGTAATTCCTAAAATTTCCAGAGTCCAGTGACCAGGGAATTCCCAGCCAGCTTGCTCCATGTCTTCTCCCTAGTGGTACTCATAGTCCTCTGCCCCCCGAATCTGTAGCAGAGGAAAGGTTCCTGGGGTTCTGGGGCTCACCAGAGGCCGGAGCTCACCCTACGAGGTGGTTTCTGAGGAATGACCCATAGGACAGGTCAACCCCACAGTGCTACCAAACAGGAGCTCCGATGAGGGTTAAGGTGTGTGAGCCACAGGCCACTCCCTCTGACCCACTCCTCCTCTACCTTTCCTCTTCCCTCTCCTAACCTTGCTTTTGCTACATCAAACCTTGGTATGCATCACAGTCACCTGGATTATTAAAGCCCGATTAAGATTATTGGGCTCCATCCCCAAAGTTTCAGAATCTATAGGTCTGGGGCTGGGGTTTGAGAGGACTCAGTTTTAGCAAGTTCCCAGGTGTCGATGCTATAGATCCAGGGCCTCCACCTGGAAAACCATTGCTCCAGGTCTGAGGTGGTGATAAGAGAATGGGCTTCTCTGTTCCTTCTCCCCAAGGTGAATGTACTTCAGCGGACACGACAGAGAAAAGCCCAATGGGGGCTATTCCTGAATACTTTCTGCTGAAGGTATAAAAGGGAAAATACAATTTGCCTTTGTGTTCTCTTATTTCCATCTCCCACTTTTTCTGCAAACACTTCTCTTGGGGTTGTTGCAGAAACCTGTATTCCATATGAATATTTGCTGTGTCCACACTCTGTTACCCATCTCCACACACTTGAGACTCATTCCATTCTAGGAGTGCAGTAGGTGGGTGAGGTCCTGGGCATGGACCCAGCTTGAGCTCTGAGTGACAGCCTGGTAGGGCAAGAAGCAGCAGAGATCTGACAACAGGTGCATCCCTGGAAGATCGGTTTTGAAATGCCATTTGTGAAATAATTGCTAACAGTCTCCATCTCTGTCCTTCCTGGCAGCCTCAAAGCATGGTTTGGGCAGTCCAGCCCAGATTTCCTGGATAGAGAGACTCATGGGGAGGAGCGTCAGCTCTGGCCATGGGAAACTGAGGACCATCTGGAACCATCAGGCATAAAACTCTTCTCCAGTTGTCTGGGCTATGCAGAAAAATGCTCTGATTTTTGTTTTCCTCTTGCAGCTCTGGTTTGGGAGTGGCAGTGGCTGCTCTCAGCATGAATGTGGGAGGAGATTGTGCAGGGCCAGAGCCCTGCATTTGGCTTCTGGGGTGGGAAAGGAGATGAAAATGAAGATATTAATAATATAATTTCATGTAACCAATCCAAAAAGTTTATTATAAAGTTTATCTTAAGGTTCATCTCCCTGAGCCAAGAAATTAGAGTTGGGGTGGGTAGTTGCCCTCCTCAACCTCAGCATGAGGCTCCCTGGCTGGGAGGTGTCTCCTCCAATGCCAGTTTTCCCAGCCCAGTCTCCTTCCTGAAATAGCATTCCCCCCTCCCACAACACACATATAGACTTCTTTCTCACACACACACACACACCCTACATGAATAGCAACTTACTCCTTCTTCCCCAGGGAAAAAGTGCTAAATAAACTCTGGTTTCATTATAAGTTCAGGACATTGCTGGGGTAGGGTCAGATACCTGGACTTTAACATTCTTTGGATCTGTCTGGTCATCCAGGTGACAAGGGTAAGACTGCAGCATGTGCTGAAACGCCTCCACTGGGAGTTTTCCCTCTTGTTAGTAGATCCCCTTGACTCAAACCCATCGACTTTTTTCTGTTTGTGACTCACTCCCAGCAGAGTGGGTGTGCTGCTTTTATTTTTGGCCAAAGGAAAGGATTATGACAGTGAGTTTGGAGTGTGCGGTTAGGGTGTGAGCTCACTTAGAGGTGGTCCCAGAGTGTGTTGGTTTTCCCGTTGGGTGAGTTGTTTTATTGCTGTCCCCCAGCCTCCCTCCCCAAGTCCCCTAGTAAGAAGGAAAACGGAAGGACAGAACATGGCCTGACTTCCTGAAGGGGAAGTTTTGGGTTTTGTTTGGCTTTGAGGCATTTGAAGTTGTCTGAAATCCCCGAAGCTTTCAGGGAACTCCCAGGGATTCTGACAGTTGCACAACTGTCTACATGGAATCACTGTAAGAGTCAGGACAAGTTAGGCTATGCCACAGTAAAAAGCGCCACAGCTCAGTGCCCTGAAACAACAGACTCCTTTCTCGCTCACATGACATGCCTTTTGCAGGTTGGCATGGGCTCTCCGCTCATCAGACTCACCATGTCTAATATTCCCAATCACTGTGCCAAAGGGAAATTGAGAGCACCTGGAGGATCCCACGTCAGCATTTATAAGCTCCAGTCACTTTCGCTCACAGCTTATTGGCCAGAACTAGTCATATGACCCCATCCTACAAACAGGAGCAGAAGTACAATTCTACCATGTGCTCAGAGGGGGAAAGAGCTGGAAACAGTTGGCAATCAGCCTTAATGACCAGTGCAATCTTTGAGGGCATAGAGCGGTTACTCATTCATTTAATGAGTAGTTCTTTGATATCCACTATGTATCAAACACTGTTCTAGGCACTAAAGGTGCAACAGTAAATGAATATGTTCATGAAGCTTATATTTAGTGAAACAGCCAGACAATAGACAAACATAAGAGTAATATGATGTCAGGTTGTAAGTACTTTGATGAAAAATAAAGCACATTAAGGGGATGAAGGTGACAGAGGCTGCTCTATGAGACTGAGTAGTCTGGAAAGACCTTTCTGAGGAGCAGACGTTTAAACACAGACCTGAATGAAACAAGCCCTTTGTGTTCCAAACTAAGAGAACAACAGGCACAACAAACCCCCAAAACTTTCCAAGTTTTATGAACCTGAGTTTGTTCAAAATGCATATTCTTCTACCTGATCTTCTGATTCAGTATGTCTGGATTTTGGCCTGCATTTTGCAAAAAATTTTGATTCACATGGCTCACAGACCACATTTTGAAAATGAGGTTATAGCAGTGAATAGTTACAATTGTGTGAACCCCCCCCGGCCCACAGACATTTGAAAAAAATGTGCTTATATTTTTGTTAACTATGAAACACAGGTCTCCAGCGCTGCTTCCTTTCCTTCTTGGCCAGCATGTTGCATGTGGAACTCAGCTTTCCAAAGAAGTGAGTGCTGTTTGCAATGTGTGATGGGGGTCAGTAATACTTTACATTACTAGACTGAGACAGGGACCATGACAAAATGTTGTGGGAGGATCAAAATGTGTTTGTGAAAGAAATCCCTTGTAAAGTGCTCCATGTTACATGTATTTGCTCAAGAAACATGCATTGAACATTTATTATGTGCCAGGCACTTTTGGCTTGAATGATTTCATCTTCACGGCAGCTCTGTTAAATGGCTGGCATTCCCATTTTACAGATGAGAAAATCAAGGCTGAGAGAAGTCATGTGACTGGCCCAAGGTGTCACAGTCTGGACTCATATCCACTCAGATCCATGAATTTGCCTTTGTCTTGCCCAGCTGGTATAGTAGAAAGGGCAGGGCTCAGAATCTCTGATCTCTCCTTGTAGGTGCAGTTTGAAGAATCAGCAAAATCTTTCTTCAGTTTCCTCTCCCTGTGGAAACCCCACTCTATGGCAAAGTTCTAGTCCAAATACCA